GATCAAGTTATACTTACTATGTGTAGGAAATTTTACTACAGAAGTATTCAGAGAGATCCTTTTTAGTTTGCCAGGTGGTTGCAGGGAGGGAGAGAAGAAGCATCTCACTCATTTGTCTAGTTATGGAACCAAGGCTAGAGATGGAAAAAAAACCCCCAAAACAACAAAACTAAAGCAGCCATTTCAGTTACCAACACACATAGTCACTTTAAAACTAGGATTATAAGCTTTGGGGTTTAAAATTTTTTTCTCTTGTGGGTATAGTAATACTCTTGTACGAATTAAAAATTTTAGGATGTCTGTCTTGATGCTTTTACTTGCTGTCTACAAATGAGGTGGGTTTTTTGTTCCTTTTTTTTTTGTTTGTTTTATTTACTATTTCTTCACAACTGTGCTTTAAACAAATAAACACAGACTTTGGGAATATGTCAAGGTGAAAAATGTGATAGCAATGTAGAGCTTTAGGTACTGGTGCAGTTGTTCTCTTTCCGCCTTTCCTTTTGCTTGGTTGTGTGACTCAGATTTTGTGAATGTGTTTTGTAGGCAGTGTTCTTGATGCCAGGAGACAGTACCTCTGACATAAGCCTCCAATAATTCAAGATACTGGGGAGAAATCAGTAACTTCCCTGCATCTTATGAAGTTATATCTTCTAAAGAAAGCTTCTGATTTTTAGGGAATGGTGAAATATCCCAGCATCCCCACCCACCTCCGCCTCCTCCCCACCTTCAAAAAAAATACAAACCAAAAACCCAAGTATTGGGATATGTAAAAACAAAATAGGTGCTGATATTAGCTTGCTCTAGGAAAGTATGGTGACTTTCTAGTCCCTTCATGAATGATTAAGTACATTTTGATAACTGTATTATATAGGCCTTGTAATGTTCTAGTTTTTAATCTTGATTGACTGACCTGATCTCCTTCAGTGACAAGGTGACCTGCTTAGTGGGTCAGGGAAAGGCTGTGGATGTTGTTTATGTGGACTTCAGTAGAGCCTTTGACACTGTTTCCCACAACATTCTTCTGGAGAAACTGGCTGGTCATGGCTTGGGCAAGTGTACTCTTTCCTGGGTAAAAAGCTGGCTGGATGGCCAAGCCTAGAAAGTGGTGGAGAATGGAATTAAATCCAGCTGGCATCAGTCACAGGTGGTGTTCCCAAGGGCTCAGTGTTGGGGCCAGTTCGGTTTAATACCTTTATCAATGACCTGTACCAAGGGATCAATTGCACCTTCAGTCAGTTTGCAGACAGCATCAAGTTGGGTGGGAGTGTAGATCTACTGGAGAGCAGGAATTCTCCGCAGAGGGATCTGGGCGGGATGGATTGATGGGCCGAGGTCAATGGTATGAGGTTCAATAAAGCCAAATGTCAGGTCCTGCACCTGGGCCAGAACAACCCCCTGCAGTGCCACAGGCTGGGGGCAGAGTGGCTGCCCAGCAGAGAAGGACCTGGGGGTGCTGGTCAGCAGCAGCTGAACATAAGCCAGCAGTGTGCCCAGGTGGCCAAGGCCAGTGGCATCCTGTGGCATCCAATACTGTGGCCAGCAGGACCACGGCAGAGATTGTCCCTCTGTATTTGGCACTGGTGAGGCCTCACCTCAAGTTCTGTGCCCAATTCTGGGCCCTTCTATTCAGAAAGGACATTGAGGCGCTGGAGCGTGTCCAAAGAAGGGCAGTGGAGCTGGTGAAGGGTCTGGAGCACAGGTCTAATGAGGGAGCAGCTGAAGGAGCTGGGGTTGTTCAGCCTGGAGAAAAGGAGACTCCATGGGGACCTTATTGCTCTCTACAACTGCCTGAAAGGAGGTTGTAGGCAGGTGGGGGTTGGCCTCTTCTGCCAAGTATTAAGTGATGGAAAAAGAGGAAATGGCCTCAGACTGTGGCAGGTAAGGTTTAGATTGGATATGAGGAAAAATTTCTTTGTGATAGAGTGATCAGGCATTGGACCAGGATACCCAGGACAGTGGTGGAGTCACAAACCCAGGAGGCATTTAAAAGACATGTAAACATGACATCTGGGGACATGGTTTAGTGGTGGGCTTGGCAGTGTTAGGGCAAACAGTTGGACTTAATGATCTTAAAGGTCCTTTCCGACCTTAATGATTCTATGATTCATTGATCTTTAGTGAAATTAACTTACAAATGTGTTTTAAAATAGCGATTATGAAGGAACTGACATTGGGCTGTAATTGGCTAGAAACTCTGTGGAGAATGATTGGTCATAAAAGTCGGGCTGTTAACCACACCAGTTGTGGCAGGCAGGTAACTTGGGCTGGAATAAATGTGGGTAAAGAGGGGTGAGGGGATTTAGAAGGTCAGGCATGTGTAGATAGTTGGCTAGTCAGCACATGTAACTGGCTGTGCCCAGTGTATGATCTGTGCCATCTCTTTTACCTTCTTAAACTCCTTTCTAACTCCTCTGAGGGTGAGGGGTGCTCTGTTCTGTGTGTCTGGGACCAGGGGGCCTGAGGGGCAACAACTGCGAGTCAGACCATGACTCAGGTGGCCCAGGGTGCCAGCAGCTGGAGAGGCAGGCACAAGTGGACTGAACAACCATCAACAGGACTGGGACCTCAGGTCACTGGAGCCCATGCATCCATGGGGCCAGGAACTGGAACAAATAAAGGTCTGGGGTGTTATACAGCTGGAGTGGGTCTGCACGCAGGAGGGACTGTTCTCGACTGCCAGTAACTGCAGAGACTGGAGTGAACGAAACCAAGTGCCAGACAGGGGGGTAGGACAGAGACCTGTGTGTCCATAGTGACAGCAATTACAGTGAGTGAGTGTTATTACTGAAGAGCCAGCCAAGCCAGCCTCCATGGACAGGTGAAGTGGCCAGGTGTGTGTGCATCTGCAAGGGGCAGACCAGGGGATGAGCTGGCTGTTGGGGTGACCCAGTGAGTCTGGCTGGCTGCCAGGGACACCATGGGATCTGAGAATGTCTCTGGGTAACACTGCTGGTGAATATGTGTTTTCCTTGTCTTTTTGTGTGTGTGTTCAGTTATTAAGATACATACCTGCTTTATTGAAGTTAGGGTACTGGTGCCATCTGGTGGTGTTAATACATTGCCAGGAATGAAAAAAACAACTCCATTGAGATGTGAGAAATTGCTGGCAGGATACTAAAAGAATGTAATTATGCTGTTGTATTAAGTCATAAAAGGGCTGTACATGCACTCACAACTTGGCTTGCTAGAGAAAATTTAATCTTTAATCTACTTCTTTCTGCTCAACAGAAAGGTTTTTTTCTAGTAGTTTCTTTTATTAAACAGTGCTTTGCAAACACAACATGAAAGAGTTTTGTGGGAGTTAACAATATTTTAAAACTCAGTCTGAAAGACAGATTACTTCTGGTATTGCATTTTGCTAAAGCCAGGGCAACATTCTCATTGCTAATATATTTGAAGTCACTGTTTTCTTTTCTAAGTGGCTGGTAATCTGACAAGTTGTCAAGAGCAGTCACAGCACTTGAGCAATCCTTTAAAGAAAATATTAGTACTCAATTCTGTTAGTGTGCACAGTAACAAGTGTGGATCAGGATCAGTAGAAGGATCTACTTGCCCAGTCTCCATCAACCATCTCTATATAAAAATGAACTGAATTTACCTGTCTTTAGCTTTTTTTAGTGCATCACTGTCCTGCTGTAACCAGAATATGAAGAATATGGTGATGATTTAGGACCAACTGGTTTACGTTTTTTTTCCTCACAAATTGAATGCCAGTTTCTTCTTCCAGATTAATCAAAGTGTAGCCTTGTCCTCTTCAAGTAGCAGTGAGGGAAGACAATTCCTTTTGGAAGACTATTGCTCGAATTTTTGCTGTGATGTGCTCTTGGAACAGGGATAAGCCTCTGAGTTGGTTTCTTCAGAAGCAGTGTCACTGGCTGCTCTGATCTCCATGTTTTGCTGCAGAAACGCCTTATGGAGTTTTTTCTACTGTCTGTATGCGAGGCTTTCCATCCTCAATGAGGATTTTTTTTTTGTGGGTTCCAACAAAAGAGCATCCTGTGCAACTCTGCACTGCTTTCAGTTAGTAGAAGTTTATTTCTTTGAATGCAATCAAAGAAATTCGCAGTGGAATTGCTAAGAGATTTTTACTTGTTCTGAAGTTCTTGTCTAGTGCTGTCATTAGTATCTTGTTGTGTCATTGTATTTATAATTCCGTTACAAGTATAACAGCAAAATCAGTAACTACGGGATATACCTTTTGATTTTTTGGAGCAGGAAGATGAAACTGGTAGTACTCTTTACCTGTTTCTGTAACATCTGAATGTTCCCTGTATTGAATCAATAAGAAAAATTTCTTCTTCTGTCAAACTTATCTATTCATGTGAGATTGTGTCACCTTTCCTTCCCAAATCTTCGTTCGCTAAGCCTAGCCATGAGTGTCACCTTTAGCCAGGGGATGAAGGTGTTCTTTTTAACTATTTTTTTTTAAATATAATTTTATTCTGGAAAATGTCTAGAGATTCTGGAAAAACAAGTTATTTCCTTGAAAGTATTTTTGGAAGATTAAGGTACAAAGAGCAGATTACTTGCAAATACAGCTTGAAAACTGAGAGTACTGCTTATCTGGCTGTGGATTTTCAATCCAAAATATTTTCTTTTCTTACAGACTAATCACTGTCTAGTCCATAAGTTGTGCTTCAAAGTTTCTGCTTATTTATTTGGTTATTTTCCCTGTCATTTGTGAAGATAAGTAATTTCATTTTGTCACATGGTGACAGGATTCCTTAGTTTTTTGAGTGATTTTTCCTTGTCTAAGTGTTTTCTTTCATAGGAGACTATGTTATATCTCTTTTCTCGCTTTTTTTTTTCTGAGGATCTAATTTTGACAGTCTTTTTCCCCTTTTCTTGCTCACAAGTGCCTCTGCCCCACTGTTACCTTAAATCAATACAGATACCTAAATACTTTTAGGTGAATATAGTGAGCTAAGTATTTCTTTGTGGCAGCTGTATTTTGAGGAATTTTGGATGTTAACTTTCAGACTATTTTTCTGTCTTTTCAGGTCTCTGGATGGCAGACTCTGAAAAGAAATGCTGTTATAAGAGGTATGCCTCATGTAGGCCAAAATATTCCAGACTAGTGTCTATATAAATGATAAGGCCATACTTTTGAGGAGTCCCTCTGCTGGTCCTCTCTGTAATCTTGCATGAATAATAGTTTTCAGCACTGAAATCTCTCTGAAAGGTGAAAGCTTTTGCAGAGATATGCAGGGTTGTCTTACTGGTGGCACAATTTTAGTAGAGAGACCTGTAATACGTTACTTTTTGCTTGATCATCTTAACAGAAAACTGCCTTAGTGGATGAAGTGGATGAAGCATGAACAAAATGCGTTGACTTTCTGGTGTGTGCATATCCCCTTCTAGCCTCTCCCGACTCTGTGTGTGGATTTTTTTTGTTTGCTTGTTTTTTAATTGGGACTATAGTCCACATGCTTTTGTAGTTGTCTTCACTCACTTCCTTTCAGTGTGATATAAGACTCAGCAGACAGTAAGAGGCTGACACCATGCCAGCAGTGTGGTTTTAAATAGTGTCAGTTGGAACCAATATGAAGAAATACTCATATTTTTGCAAATGATGATTTTTTTCATGCTAGCTGAATGTTTGGAACATTTTCTGTGTTTGTTTGGGGTTTCATGTTCCAGCACTTAAGAAAACTGCCTCTTCTCTCTCCATTGTTGGTGTATTGTTTCTCAGTTGCTTGGCAGCTGTTAAGAAAACAGTCTCTTCAAAGTGGAATTCTTTTACCAGGTCTACCATCCGTTTCAGGGTTCCTAAGTGGCAGATCTTAGAAAAGTAGGCTTTGTCTTTGTAAGAGAAAGGTTCGTCTGACCCAGTCTTTTCAAGGCTTCCCTTTTAATTTATTTTTTTTAAAACAGGATGTCTTAATTCTTTTTTAGGCATTTAAGGAGGGTTCTGGCTTCTCTAAAGACCAGTAGAGTGCTGATTTGTTTTGTTCTGACTCAAAAATAGTTCTCAGGATGAAGTGCTAACAACTTGGGTTAAAAGTGGCTCTTCAGCTATTGATTGAGATTTTGGTGTTGGTGTTTTTTGTGCAGTATTTACAAACTCCTAAAGAAAGAGATGCTAAGAGTCAGGGAAGACTTTATTATTGCTATTTTCAACACAGCCTGTGGATGGAAATCAGGATGATGGTGCTACCCTGTTCCTGGAGGTGGACTCTTGTAGGATGAGAGGCATTGTACCAAGTTGTAATGCAGGACATTTCTGTGAGACAGTAGGAGCATTTGTGCCGGTGAGGGTGGTCAGACCCTGGAACAGGTTGCCCAGAGAGGCTGTGGAGTTTCCTTTGTTGAAGGTTTTCTGAGTGGAGTATGTCCACAGTAACTCAATTTATGTGGTCCTGATTTGAGTGCAAGGCTGGATTAGAGCAGCTTGGAGAGGTTACTCCATTACATCCACGGCATCATCCTGTGAATTTATGTAACCTGCTGATGGGATGCTTTTTTTGCACTTTACATTTTCTGTAAAAACAGTTGAGGCTCAGGTTTCTATGTTTTGGTGTGTTGGGTGTGTCTTTTTTTTGGGTGGGCTTTTTTTTTTTTGGTTGGGTGTTTTTAAGCAGCATTTGTTGAGTTGAGAAGTGTTTTGTGATTATAGAATTGAGGAACAACTTCTTCCTATTCCACAACCTGTTTGGAGGGAGAAGGATTGTGCTTTGGCTCAAGTGTTCGCTTGTTGGCTAGGTATGGAGTAAGATTCTTTAAGTTTTTTTAATCAATTGTCACTGTTCAGACAGTGAATTTAAAATCTCAAAGTTATCTACTGTTCTTACAAGTTGGAGATTGCTTGCTGTTGTAGGTTACTATTTGAGTGGGTAAATCTGTTTAGAGGAACTCATGGGTTTCTGTGTCATACAGATTTTCCTTTCCTGGCTTTGACCCTCTAAAAACTGAATCAAGGTCTGACATTTCTGTTGTCCACTAAGAGCCGTGGAGGTTTAATGGCAGGTTCAAATAGTCTGTTCTAGAGGCTTGCTATTCATACTAAATCCTGCACAACCTGGTGAGTTTATAAAGTCTCTGTAAAAAAGGAAGTGTCAATTTTGGGGATACATTTTTGTTTTGGTTTTTTAAAAAATTTTTAGGCAAGAAGACATCAGCCTAGCTTGTGCTTTGGAGAAGTAAACTTGCCATCTCCTCCTGTTATTCCTTCAAGCTGGTGTGTGTGACTTTAACATGAGCCTGATTCTGTGAGTTTTCTTTTTAAAGCAACCAATTTTAGATGTTGAGCTCATGCTGACTTCATTGATCTGATGTCTCTGTGATTATGACTGGGCAACAGTTGAGATAGTCAAAATAGTAACAAGTTCAGCTTATGTATGACATGGATAGGCTAAGGTAGTGTGATAGTGTAGTAAGTTTATAGGTTCATACAATAATTCAGGTTGGAAAAGACATCAGGAGATCACGTCTGGTAAGAAGCAGCGGGACCTGAGGCATGAAGCTGTGTCGGGGGACATTCAGGTTAGATACTGGGGAAAGGTTCTTCACCCAGAGAGTGGTTGAGCACTGGAACAGGCTCTCCAGGGAAGTGGGGCACCACTCCCCAAGTTACGGCACCAAGCCTGACAGAGTTCAAGAAGAATTTGGACAATGCTCTCAGACACATGGTGGGATTGTTGGGGATGTCCTGTGCAGGGCCAGGAGTTTGATTTGATGATCCTTGTGGGTCTCTTCCAACTCAGGTTATTCTGTGTAATCCAATTGGTCAAAGCAGAGTAAGCTGAGGTCAGACCAGGTGGCTCGAGGCCTTATCCATATGCCTGAACAGTTCATGCTCTTAAGCTACAAGCTTGGGAATGTGTGTTCAGAGATGGACTTTTGGACTTCTGTTGTTTTTCTGTTTAGGGTTAGATTACTTGTTTCAGAAGCTTATGAATTAATTTTTAGCTTTCTTTTCAGCGTATCACTACTTGAGAAATGGGAAGATGAGTTCTGTGGAGACAACCTGGAGTTCAGATTTGAAAAAAATCTCATTCCCATTTTCAAAGGGAAAGTGTTTAAGGGAGACGTGTATTTGTCTAGAAAATAGAAAAGTAGGTTGGGTGGTTCTTAGTCAAACTTGATGTTTTGGATGTTGTGTAGTCTTGCTGTTTTGTTCTAATTTGTATGAGATTACTGATATGGATTAATTGCATGTGCAGAAGCTGTCAGTAGTCTAAGCAGAAGGATGTCACTTCATTCACAGTTGTTCAGAGGAATCCAGTACCTGGTAAACATGCTTTTCTTTCTTTCTTTATGTTATTACATGTTAATATAGTAAAAGTAGCTCCTTGAGAGTGCTACCTAAGTAACAAAAACAGATGCTGAGACGTCTGAAGGATACTGAGAATTTTATCAAGAGAGAGGTCTTCTCGTATTCCTGGGAGGCCAGCAGTTAAAAAAAAAGTAAGTAGGTTTTCAGTTGCTTGTTTGATAAACTCAGTATTTCAACTGACATTTTCAGGGTAATTGGACTGATGTAAAGTCTAAAAATATTTAATAAATATTTTTTTAATTCATTATTGTACTGATAATGTTGAAATAACAGTCTATAAAATAGTTAAGGTGGAGTGAAGATGACATAGAAATAGGAGTTGACATATAATTTATGATATATTTGTCAGCGTTCATGTCTTGGAAATTTTTTGTGACTTCTGCTTGCGTCTAATCTCCAGATCTAATCCCTGGTTTTTTTCCCCTTCAGCAGTGTACTTTAGAGTGTATGTGGTTACTTGAAATGTATGTTTGGTGTGGGGTTTTTTTGGTAGGGTGATAAGAACTTGACTTTCTTATATGATAAAAGTGGCATTTAACTTTTGTTTGGCAGTAGGCTGTAGGGAATGTTGGGAATGTTGGGACTCCTTCCCAAGAGCAGATATGTGGTTCAAATAGAATATCTGGGCAGATAGTTGGTATAATCCAGACAGGAACATGAAAGACATCCTGTGTTAGCCATCTATCCACATGGAGAGTTTCTTCTTAAGCATTGTGAGTGGTAGCTTAGCTTTGTGTTTCGTAGTATGACTGCGTATAATTTTCAAATGCAATAATAATGACAAAAAAAATAGTTGATGGTGAAATTTGCAATTATGTACTATTTCCTCTGAAGTGATACAGAACAGGCAGGTGATAAATGTGGAATCGCTTTACATAATATGGAATTACTTTATGTTTTTAATTTGTTGCTGTGATTAATGAATTTAATTTCTTATATGAGGCTGTAATATTAGTCTTTCTATTTTTTCTTTATATATTTCATTAGTTCTGCTAAAAAGTTTTTTGTGTTTCCCTCTAGAAAGCAAGAAGTTTTCTGGAAAGTATGAGTATTTAAATATGCTGTCTAACTGAACAGACATCTTGGTAATACACCATTTTGTTGTGAGCTTATCTCTCCCTTTCTGTATACATATGAACTGGTCTGGTTTGGGGGTTTTTTTAAGTTTTATTTTTCCTAATTTTTAAATTTTTAACAAGTCCTGTTGTAACAGGTGTCGACAGAGAGGCTCAGGAACAAATCATGCAGAGATCAATGTGATCAGATGATGTTCAATTAATTATTTAAATGAGTTAACTTTTATACAGTTTAGTTTGTTCCAGGTACATACTCACAACAAGGTGACTGGGTAGCTCAGTCTGTGCACGCGTCTCATGCTTTCAGTTCATTGGATTTGGTGGTCTGTCCATGCGGCCTGAATTCATATTTGGCATGTAAAGCCCCTTCTATTGATTCGCCCCCGGGGCTTTCCAAAATCTTGGAGGTGTCTCATTATCTCCAGTTTCTCAAGGTCTTCCTTACTATAAACATACTATTTTCTCAAACCTTATAACTAAACACACAGCTAATGAATATAAACATTGCATATTTTCACACAGTCTGTAAGTATAAACATTACAGCTTACAGCTTCTAAAGCAATGTTAAGCAAGGCCTACAGAATTGCAGGAAAAATTGTTCAGAGAAATCTCTTTGCTCCAGCCACAAACAGGTATAACTGTTTTGAAAAGCAAGTGAGACATTCTAATTTTCTTCTTTTTCTTGAGACTAAAGGGCGTGGGTCACAATTGCACAAGATGCAGGCCAAAATAAAGTCTGACACTGACAGTTTGCTTACAGACCTTAAAAAGTTGAATTGCCTGTTGGAGATTCAAGCTGTGATGAAGCTACCATGTTGGACCTGTGCATGAGCAGAGAAGAGATCCTTCTCATGTTTTAGCAGCTGCAACACAGCAGTGTGGGACAGGCTTCTGGAGGAATCTCCTACTGTAGGTTTTATCATGTTTTGAAACTGTAGCATCTTCTACTCTGGAAAAACCTGTTCCCTTTGTGTTGCTTCTTCCAATAGTTCTCATTTTCAGTTCTTTAAACATATAAGGAGAGGGTTTTTCTGTCCTTCTTGAAAGGCGTATGACATTTTCATAAGGTTAATTTGACAGGCTTGCTCTAGGTGTTCTAGAAGACATTAATTTTTGGAAATGGACATTAATGTACTGGAAAAATCCCATTCAGTCGGTGAAGTGTGTATTATCCTTGCTAGCTTTTTTTTCTTTTTCTAGCACAATAGGGTTTATTACTATTTTGTATTATTTTTATCTTCTTCATTGTGTGGTTCATTCACTGTTCTTATAATACCATACCCCATCTGAACTGGTTTTTATTTGTTGATGATTCTTCTAGTGGCAGTGCTTGTGTCTACTGTAATGAGGAAAAATTGTCGTGCTTTTTCTAGAAAATAAATAATTTCCCTGTTTCACATTTCGCTGTAGTATCTTTGGCTCTTCTGCCTTGGTGTTTGGATTCGATCTGTTGTGATCCTGAACATTTTCTTCTGAATTCCTGCCAACAGAAGTAACTAGAATTGTATTAATACAGCCTTTTTAAGTATCCGTGGAGGTTAATTTCTCATTTACCTGTCATGGATTGTGTTTTCTAATGTTGCTGACTTTCTGTTTAACTGGTGGTTTTAAGCCATCTCCAGAACTCTTTTAAAAGAGTAATGTTGAAGGCTCTTCTTCTGTGCCACAGAAAGGTACCTGCATCATCCAGTAGCTTTTACCTGGTGACCTCATGCACTAACTTGCAAGGATTTAATATGTGTCTGGTTTTCAGATGGTTAGAAATAAGTCTATAGAATACAATTTAGAGAAGTAATTCAGTTTCCAAGGATAAATTCTGACCTATTTTGTATACTGCAAAACCAGTTCATTCTTCTGTAGTGACTAGTCACTAGCTTAATAAATAAATCACAAATACCATGAAGTAAGTTTGATTTTTTTTTTTTTCCCATTACTTGTTCTTAGCCATGAAAACTGGAAGTTTTCCTAGTCTTTTTTGTATAGGACAATGCAGATTTGAACGTGTTGGTGTTGGATATGCTTTCCCATAGTTTATAGTAGAATATAAGGTACTTTTCAGCAGATTGGTGTGGAAGTTTGCCTTTTGATAGTTCTTTTTGCTTAGTACCACTTCAATGAAAATGAAGATGGCAAAGATCAAACAATCTTGTTACAATATTTCTATGTGAAATTTGGGGAACATGTGTTACCATTCAAATTCTGAAATGTTTTCCAAACTGAACTAGATGAAAACCAGTATTTGTGACTCAGGGACAGTAAAATCAGTTTAATGGAAAACAGTGTAATTTGGTGAATTCTGCAGTGTGGGAACCAAAGGTAGTAGGTTGTAAGCAAGTTTAGCCTGCTCTGTTAATTAACTAGAATGCTGCCAAATTATGGTAACAGTACAATTTTCAGTATACTTTAAAAAACATAGCTGTGTTTAAAAGATAAGAGTTTATTTGTTAAGACATGGGCTTTATGTGGTTTTTTCTCAATAAGCAATTGAAATTGCTGCAAAAAAAAGTTAAATGAGCTGTTTCATTTTTAATGTCTGATATTTCTTCCTTTTAAAGGTGATTATGTCATCCCACGCTCAAAAGAAATGAAAACTGTCTAATTCCAGTTTCTTAGTACAATAAACTGCAGCTCTGCCTGTGAAATTATTTTAATCTGCAATGTAACTTTTAATTTACTTGTGTTTAAATAAAGGGATTTCAAAAGGTTAACTTTTCAGGTCCATTATTGAGAGACAGATTCAGAATTGTGGTTTAACCATACTGACACAAGGCAAACACTTAAAAGTGTGATTAAATATAATATGCCAAATCAGACCTAGTTATTTTGACTTCTCAGTTGTCAAAACACTTTTGATTCTGAAATTGCTTTGAGGATTTTCTCTCTCCGTGTTTTTGTGAGTTTTTCACCATTACAAGACTGAACGTGATGACTTAAGTTACTCGAGAATAATAGGGTTTCACCTTAAATCCAGGTCCCTTGGTTGGTAATGGAACTTATCAATAGCACTGTTTTCTATGCTGTTGAAATACTGACCTGCAAAATAGCATGGGGTTTACATTGTTTCATTTCTGTGAAGTGACATAAAAGTTAGTGCTGTCATTGTGTGCGTGTATGTGCACACCCACGTAAGTTACATGCGTGTAAAGCTGTATAAAAGCTTTAGGGTTAATGCTAGCTAATTGTTTATTCTTAAGTAACTTTTGCCTTGTCACTACAGCTGTGTTACTTTATGATATGTCTTTTCTGCAGGCACCAAAGATGCTAACAAGAAAGATTAAGCTTTGGGACATTAATGCCCATATAACCTGTCGTCTGTGCAATGGATACCTGATTGATGCTACTACTGTAACAGAATGCTTACATACTTGTAAGTAAAAGTATAATTAAGTTAAAGTTGCCTTTTTTTTTTTTTTAAATTTGATATCCAACATGTTGTAGTGCTTTTGAGTTGAAATTTAAAAATATCTATTGTGCATCATCCAGAACAGTTTCTGTTTTACTAGACACTGCTTTTCTTTAGCAGATTATTTGCTTCTTTATCAAAGCAAATGAAGGGAACATTAAAGCTGTATTGCACAAACTTGAAGCCATACACAATTAGTGGTAATGTAAGCATTTAGAAATGCAGTCTGTCGTCCTGCTAAAGGAATGTGGAATACCTACACATATGTTACAGTTGACATAGCATATATTCTCTACCTGGAACCTTTGCAGTGTCTCTCACTCTCCTGTTCCTCTGCAGAAAGCAGCTGTAGTTTCTGGATAAAGAATAAGTATTTTGTGTTGTACCCTAGAAATAAACTTGTGTTCCAAAATAGTGTAATAGGGTAGGTGTTTGTTGTTAGGTTACTTTGTAAATTTCTGATTTCGTATCAGTGAAGCATGGCCTAGAGCCTTGCAAAGCATCTCATGTTTTAAAATTATTCTGTCACAAAGCTAATATGTTGTTGAATTGTCTGAATGACTTACAGTGCTAAATTTTCTTGGAAGGCAATTATTTGGTGACAGTGTCTTCATTATAAAATGAGAAGTTTCAGTAGACTTCTTCTTCACCTAATATGTCTAAAAAAGGGGAAATACAGTGCTCATGATTGGTCAATGATTACATTTTTTATTATATTCCATTTAGAAGCTCTATTCATCAGCTTTAATGAGTTTGTTTTTGTCACATTTCGTGTTGTTTTGGGTGTCCTTATAGGGTCATAGGATCATAGAACGGTTCATTCTATGATTCCAAGAACCAAAGAAAGGTTCTTGAAACTAATTCCGATCTATTGGATTATGTTGTTCAAAGCCTATCTAACCTGGCCTTGAACGCTTCCAGGGATGGGACATCCACAGCTTCTTTTGGCAGCCTGTTCCAGTGCCTCACTACCCTCACAGTGAAAATTTCTTTCTAATATCTATCCTCCTTCAATTTAGAGCCATTCCTACTTACCCTATCATAACATGTCCATGTAAAACATCCCTCTCCAGCTCCCTTCAGGTGTTGGAAGGCTGCTTTCAGAGCCTTCTGTTCTCCAGGCTGAACAACCCCAACTCTCTCAGCTTGTCTTTTAGGAGAGGTGGTCCATCTCTGTGATCAACTTTATGGCCCTCCTCTGGACTTGCTCCAAGAGGTCCATATCGTTCCTTATGCTGGGAACCCCAGAGCTGGATGCAGCAATCAGTGTGTTGTGTCCCTCCTGCATTTGTTTCACATCTTAATTTCCATAGTGTTGTTTTCAAAGTGAGATCCTTAAAACTAGATTAGTTTTGCCAGAATTTCTTTACTGCTGCTATTAAGAAGATTACATACAAAACCAGTATTATAACAAGTTAACATGGCTGACACAGAGCTAGGGGGTCATTTTTCATTGTTTTTTAAAATAAACCGAAATGCTATAAATACCCCTCAGCTGACATCATCTGCACCATTTCTTATATTTGCTTATGGAAGAAATTTGTAGATTAATCCACAGTGCTACAGTGCTTGCTTCCAAAACCAGGGCATGCGCCTTACTACCTTCTGCTGCTGCTTTTTTGGGGGTTTTTTGGCTTGTGCCTCTCTTATTTTGACAGTTGATGTTTTCTGAATAGTGTTTCACTGTGTGTCCTGTAGAATTACAGTTCTGTGAGAAAAGCACACAGCCCTGTCTATGTAAAAAAACTTCATACATATTGGCACTGTTTGTGTTGTGTATGGTGATGCTAATAATATATGTGCCTGGAAAAGCAGCCTTCCAAAATCTATCATGAAATTTCCATGCCTGTTGAGACAGTGAACTCTCTTCAGAGTTACACCACTCTGAAATTTTCATTCTGTTCTACTCAGAACTGCACAGTTTTCTTTCCTTTTTCATTTTTCTCTAATGTTTTGACCTTCAGCCATTTGGAGTCTCTTCAGTAGTAAATGAAATTCTTGAGTCCCTTGGAGAGACTCATTTGGAGGACCAAGGCCAGTCCTCTAGATGGACAGGGCCAAATTTTGTAAAACTGAATTCAGCCAATTCCTTATCCACTGGATAGTTCATTCATTAAATTCCTGTCTCTCTGATTTAAAGAGAAGGATATTGTGGAAGACCTTGTCAAGAGTCACTCCAGAAGTCCAGATAGATGACATTTGTAGCTCTTCTCTTCTCCACTGATGCAGTAACTCCATCATAGAAGGCCACCAGGTTGGCCAGGCAGGACTTGCCCTTGGTGAAGCCCTGCTGACTGTCCTGAAGCACTTCCCCTACCTTCTCTGTGCCCTAGCACTGCTTCTAGGAGGATTTGTCCTATGTTCTTCTCAGGCACAGAGGTAAGGCTGACAGGCTGGTAGTTTCCTGGGTCATCCTTCCTTTCTACTACTTCCTAAAAATGGGTGGAATGTTTCCCTTTTCCTAGTCACCAGGGACTTCACCTGACTATTGCTGTCATGACTGTTTCTGTGAGTGACTTGGCAACTACATCAGCCAGCTCCCTCAAGGCTCTGGGAGGCATCTCATCAGGTCCCATAGATTTATCTGTATTCAGGCTCCTCAGGTGTTCACTAACCTGATCTTCTCTTACAGTGGAAGGGACTTTACTCCCCCATCCATGCGAGAGGTGTAGGAAGAGAGATTGCCAGGGAAGAGTGAGGCAAAACAGTTGAGTACCTCAGCCTTCTCCTCATCCATTGTTACTGATTTGCCAGTCCTGTTTATCTGGGAACCACACATTCTTTGACCTTCTTTTTCTGACTGACATACCTATGGAAGGCCTTCTTACTCCTCGTGTCCCTTGCCAAATTCATCTTCAGCTGTGATTTGGCCTTCCTGACCCATTTGTGCACAAGCCAGCAACATCCTCATACTTTTTCCAGAATATCTGTCCCTGCTTCCACTGTCAGATTCTGCTTTCATCAACTTGGTAAGACTGGGGTTTGGCTTCACTTTTGCAAACGGATCTACTGCTTTGACACTCCACTGGAACAAACTGCTCTGTGGGATCTGTGCATAGTGTGCAAAGCTATGAGGCTTTGTCAGACCTGTGCCAGCCACAGTGCTGTCATCCTAGGTGTGTAAATACAAAGCACAATGCAAACTTAAAATGCTTCATTTGCTGTTGCTTTTTTTTTTTTTTTTTGGTATTAATAGGTGTTTTTAATTGTACTGTTATCTTGTTTGGGAGGTAGATGGCACTATAGCTACAGAAGTTCTTTCATTTTATGTGATAAGTGCATTAATATCAAGACTACATGAGCTGCTGCTCTTCAAAAAAAAGCTGTTCCTCTGGGATTTTTTCCCCTCTAATTTATGAGTTGTAACCTCAAGTGAGTCAGGATATCATGTAGTATTGTATTTTATGGGTACTGTTTTTGGGCAGGACAGAGGAGAGTGGAGTGTAGATAGTTCGCTCTGAAAGAGATACGGGTGATTGTGTGTATGCATGTGGAAACAGTTCTGGAAGCATTGCAGCTTTATAACGAATGACTACTTTGGCAGCTCCTTCCCAAGCATTTTACTAATACTGAAGGTCTGCAAATGTAATTTTTTTTTCTGGTGGAAGTTTAGCTGTAGTGTACTCTGTGAAAGTTAGGAGTAAAATAACGCCTGGGTATCCATTTTCTGAAAGTTTTCTGTTCTCTTAAAAAAGTACTCAGCTTTGGAATTTTTTTTTGCATTGGTTCATTGCCACCACACACATTTGTTCCATATGTGGCCTTGGTTAAAGCAAATATGCTTAGCATCTTAATGGTGTACAGTTCCTGTAATGTTGGCCATGCAAACTGAATGTTGAGCTGCTAGAAATTGCTCTAGTAAATTTTAAGGGTGGGATCTTGTGTTGTATGCTGTATTAGGAAGGTTGTGTGTAGGCACAAATGCCTTAATTCTAGTTTCCTGTGTGAAAAAAAATTAATGAAACATAATGAAAACTGTACTCTGCATGATTAAACGTCATGCATATATAGTGGGAAAAAATGAGCTTTGTGTAAGTTTCAGTAAGGTGCATTTCTGTGACTTTAGAAAAGCAAACTTTTATTATGCTACTTTTATTACTTTTTAATTGTGAATGTCTTTGTTATCAGTCTGTAGAAGCTGCCTAGTGAAATATTTGGAGGAAAACAACACTTGTCCAACCTGTAGAATTGTTATACATCAGAGCCACCCATTACAGTATATTGGGTAAGTATAAAAGCAGAAGTGCAAGTAATTTCATTCTAGACTGGTTCATCCCTTTTAATACAGATTTTCCCAAATTTTCTTTCTTGCTTATCAGCATATTAAACATTTAAAAGGAAGTTTGAAGGTGATTGAGGAGATACAGGATCAAACTTTGCTATGAATTTGAAATTCCTTAGCATGACATCTTCTTCTAGAGTTAAAAACAAGCCAAGTATGCACTTCACTGTTTAATTTCTGTGTGATTTTAATAGGATTTAGTCATTCCACATTTTGTATGCTTGGGTTGTAAAAGTTATATGTATGAAACATTTGTAGAAATTACACTTTTACAAAATCCTCAATAATTATTCTTAGTTGAACAGTGCTTTTCAGTGTCTCACAGTAATGAGAGAAATAATTTTCAGCACTGTCATTCAGTTAATCTTTCAAAGGTGTGTTTAGGTCATAGGAACAGGTAAGAATATCATAAAATCATCATAGAATGGGTCAGATTGGAAGGGACCTTAGAAGTCATGTAGTTCCCTGCCATGGGCAGGGACACCTTCTTCTAGATCAGATTACTCAAAGTTCCATACAGCCTGGGCTGAACACTTCCAGGGGTGGGGCATCCACAGCTTCTCTGTGTAACCTGTTCCAGTGACTCACACTCTCATGGTGAAGAATTTCTATTTATTATCTAATATACACCTACCCTCTTTCAGTTTAAAGCCATTCCCCCTTGTCCTGTCACTACATGGCCTTGTAAAAAGTCCCTCTTCAGCTCTCTTGTAGGCTCCATTCAGGCACTGGAAGGCTTCTCTAAGGTCTCCCTGGAACCTTCCTTGTCCAGCTCTGTAATCCCCAGATCTCTCAGCTTGTCTTCACAGGAGAGGAGGTCCATCCCTCTCATCATTTTCATGACCCTCCTCTGGACTAGCTCCAACAGGCCCACGTCCTTTGTATTCCAAGGACCCCACAGCTGAATGCAGAACTCCAAGGTAGGGTCTCGTGAGAGCAGAGTAGAGGGACAGAATCACCTCCTTCGGCCTGCTGGCCAAGTTTTTTTTGATGCAGCCCAGGACGCAGTGGGCTTTGTGAACTGCAAGCCCACATTGTTGTGTCAGGATGAGTTTCTCATCCACCAACACCCCCAAGTCCTTCTCCTCAGGGCTGTTCTCAATCCATTCTCTGCCCAGCGTGTATTTGTGCTTGGGTTTGCCAGCACCCAGGTGCCACTTGACCTTGTTGAACTCCATGAGCTTCACATGGACTCACCTTCTAAGCCTGAATGGCATCCCTTCCCTCTGATGTGCTTGACCATACCACTGCACTTGTTTTTGAAGAACTTGCTAAGGGTGCACTCGATCCCACTGTCCATTTTGCTGACAAATTTGCTAAACAGCGCCAGTGGCATTACTGACCCTGAGGAACACCACTTGTCACTGGTCTTCTCTTGGATTTTGAGCCATTGATCACAGCTCTCTTGAGTGCGACCAGCCAGGCAATTCCTTATCTACCAAGTGCTCCATCTGTGAAATCCATGTCTCTGCAGTGTAAAGACAAGGATGTCATTCAGGACAGCGTCAAATGTTTTGCACAAGTCCAGGAAGACGACGTCAGTCACTCTTTCCTCATCCGCCACCTCTGTAACCTCATCATAGAAGGCCAAATTTGTCAGACATGATTTGCCCTTAGTGAAAGCCTTGTTGGCTGTTGCCAATCGCCTCCTTATTTTCCATGTGTGTTTCCATAGTTTACAGATCTGCTTCATGATCTTGTTGGGCACTGAGGTGAGACTGACTGGCTGGTAATTCCCCAGGTCTTACTTATTTCCCTTTTTATGAATTGGGTTGCATTTCCTTGTTTACTTTCAGTGGGAAACTTACTGGACTGCCACAACTTCTCCACTGCCACAACAGTGGATAGTGGCTTAGCTACTTCCTCAGCAGTTCCTTGAGGACCCATCAGGTCCCCTGGACTTCAGATTCCATAGATAAGTCTTGAACCTGGTCTTCTACAGTGAGTCGTTCTTCATTCTCCCAGTCTCTGCCTTTGCCATCTGCAACTTGGGCAGTGTGGCTGGAGCACTTAATGATGAAGACTGGAGCAAAAAAAAGTCATTGAGTAACTTCAGCTTTCTCCACATCCCAAGTAACCAGGTCTATTTACTGCCAGAAAGAGCCCACACTTGTTGCCCTTGATGTCCTTGTCCAGAATTAATTCTATCACAGCTTTAGCTTTCCTAACATTATCTGTGGCTGCTTGGACAGTTTCTCTGTACTCCTCCCAGGCTATTTGTCCTTACTTCTCTCTCTGCAGGCTTTCTTCCTATGTTAGTTAGTTAGTTTGTCCAGGGGTTCCTTGTTCATCCATGAAAATCCCCTGGCATTTTTTCCTGACTTCCTCTTTGTCGGGCTGCATCCCTCCTGAGCTTGGAGGAAGTGATCCTTGAATATCAACCAGTGTTCTCGAGTCCCTCTTCCCTCCAGGGCTTTTTCTCGTGCTACCCTACCAAGCAGATCCCTGAAGAGGCCAAAGTTGACTCTTGTGAACTCCAAGCTCACTCAGGGTAGTGAGCTTGCTGTGCACCCTCCTCACTCCACTAAGGGTGTTGAACTCCAACATTTCATGGTCACTGCTGCCCACGCTGGCCTTTGGCTTTGTATTCCCCATCAGTCTCTCCGTGTTAGTGAGAACAAGGTGCAGGGTAACATCTTTCCTTGTTGGCTTCTCTATTGCTTGGAGAAGGAAGTTACCATCAGTGCATTCCAAGAACCTTCTGGATTGTTTAAGCCAGCAGTATGGCAGCAAAAATATTAGACCAGAATGGATGACCTTGTCCTTTGTTCTGTTTTGATCTCTAATACGAATTTAGTGTTGTTCACCAGTTTCCTTCTTTTTTTACCAAGTATTTTTGTTGGTTTTTCTTTTCCTTGAGTGCTTTCTTTTCATTTTACAGCAGTGTAGTAACTCTTGCTGATGAAAATAGTTGTGACAGTATGTTTGCATTAGCTATTGCATATCAAGTAGTGTTTTACCTACCTTTATAAAGAGTTTGCATTTGTTAGTAGCATTTTCCTGTGTGCCTTTCTCAGTTCTGTAAAAATTTCTGAAGCAATGCTTGTAGCAGATGAGTCGGGTTGCACCTTCACAGAAAACTGTCAGTGTTGTATACACACTCACATGGCTTAAGCTCATCCTCATTCAAGAGCCTGAAACTAGTAATGCTGTCCCTGGAGTTGAAGAATAATGGTGTACACTGATAATGTATTATATGATACACTGATAATATTTTGTATGAGTGTATAATTAAAGGGACAAGTAGGTGAAAATAGGCAAGAATGAATAAATTACATGTGAGAGAATGTTTGTCTTCTGTAATACCACAAGAATATACCATTGCCTGTTTCCTGTGCAAAAAGGGACCAGGAAACAGCATCAAACTGAGAACACCTACAAAGCAATCTGTTGTTGAATATGCCTCAAGTGAAGTAAACTGCTTGAACTAGTTGTAAAACATTACCCCTTCAAAACTGAAACAGGCTTTGTCCAGACTACTTTTGGATATATTTATGGAATCCTTTTAAATAAAGAATTGACAGAAGTTTCACAAGCTGTCTTAAAATGTAGCTCCTCTATTCATCTCCCTGTGTCTGGAAAATAGGTAAACCAAATGCATCTCCTTTTTCACATTTCTTAGTGCTGTTAAATAGAATCATAAAATTGGGTTGTAAGGGACCATGAAGGTCATAGAGTTCATCTAGGTAAAAAAAAATGATGACCAAAGATCATCTAGTTCATCTGGTTCCAACCCCCAAATTCTCACCTCTGATCTGTTAGTGATGTCTTATTTACTTATTTTTGTTGAAACCTTTTTGGTGATGTGTCTGCAGTCCATATGTGGCACTTGATAATCCCAGCCTGTGCAAATGGGTTTGCTACTGATTGAAGTGACATGAATTAAGAATTATTTGTATTTTGATTCTTCTTGTAGTGCTACTTAAAACACTGTAATTACTGGTTGTAAATGTGTTGATTTGCCGCCATTTCTTTACTTGTTCATTGATCTCCACTGCTTTGAAGTGCTCATGTCAGGGGATGAGAAGCTTGAGACTGCTCTTGTAAGCCTCTTCTGTTTAAGTCAGACTCAGGGTTTGATATTGCAAACTCTTTTGGGGTAATGACATTGCAGCAGCCAAGACAGACACTTGAAATGCTTCTGATAATAGTTACTAATTGGAGTTTAGGGTATGTTATTAATATATAACTTAATTTCTTAAGGATAATACTTAATTTCTTTCAGACAGTGACTTATTTTAGACTAGAACAGAATTTTGTCTAGATGAACTGGGAATTAAAGTTTAGAATCTTAACTGGTCCCACTGCTCGAGTTTCAGTGGGATCATTGTCTATTTTTTATTTGAGCCACACTACCTGTACAAGCTACTTAGCTACACAATGTTTCTCACAGTCAAAATGCTGTCTTTGAAGAGCAAAGTAAAATTTAATTGTCGTGATCTTTTTCTGTCAACTGTTCTCATGGATTTTAGAGAAGCCTAGTAGAGATGAGTCTATAAGGGTGAGAAATAGACTATCCTTGGTTCTTTTGTAATAAAAATGAGTTTACCTCAAAGTTGTCTAAGAATTTTGAGATTATTAGTGACATACTTGCCTTGATGTTGGAGGTCATATCCCATGGATTGATTTATTTCCTCCACAGACTATTCTTTGTCAAACTTCTGTTTGGTTTTTGTCTTAGGCTGTACTTTTTCATAATTTATTTTATGTTACTGTTCTTTCTGGTTTGATATAAGTCCTGATTTGAGAAGTGAAATTCGTCTTAGGTGAATTTAGAAACTTTTACATTCATTTAGTACTGGAACTTTTTAAAGAGAAAAGTTTTGAATCAAGAAGGTTGACTTAAGCTTTTGATTTTGTTTTTCTTCTTGCTAGTCATGACAGAACAATGCAAGATATTGTTTACAAACTTGTACCAGGCCTCCAAGAAGGTAAGTTGTGGTATGGCCTTTTCTGGAGGTCAGTTTGCACATACTTCTTTAACATAAAGATAAAAGAAAGTTTCAAGTGATGAAAAACTGAGGGCAACTGAAGAAAAATACAATGGAAAACTATATTCTTTAATGATTCATTTCATACCTGTACTAGCAGCAATTCAGTGTGGGGGTGGTGGGAGGCAACATGGGATATTTCATCTGAAAGCACTATTATGTAAAGCGGAATAGTTGTTCTTCTTTTGAGTGTTGGCACACCATAACTCTGATTTGGTTTTGTTAAACTGTGTTCTTAAACCTGCTGTGCAAGCTTTCTAGAATTCTCAGAGGTAAAAGGCAGAAAAGCTTTTAGTTCCTGCAATTCTGTGAGTCCTTATCAGGGAACTTTATTTTGTGTTTTCGTAATGCTCTTTGGCACTAGATCTGTTTTAACTAAAGAAGTACTTTATAGAAATGTGATCTTTTTGTCTTAATATATGTTAAAACTTTCATTTACATAGAGGATTTTAATCAATTTAAGCTGAAAAACCAGAACATTTTCAAACATCAGTAAGATGAAATAGATTATTAAAAAATTATTTCTAGGATATTGGAAATCAGAACTGTAAATAAAAATTCAAAACCAGTGGTTTGACTGAAATGTTGTGGGTGGATATTCAAAAGTAACTACAGTATTTTAAATACCATCTTATTCTAGTAGGAATGCTACAGCAGTAGCTATGCAAATGACCTTATGGTATTCTAACTCTGAAAAATAAGCTGAGGCATGACTTGATGTGACAGCAGAGATAGAATATAGTAAATAATGACAACACCACTACTTGCTGGCGATCCTTAAGAGGGAAGGGATTTGGAATAACTTCATAAATATTGCATTAGAAATTTATTACAGGGATTAATATTTGCAATTTTAAACAGCGGAAATGAAAAAGCAAAGGGAGTTTTATCACAAACTGGGCATGGAAGTTCCAGGGGACATCAAAGGGGAGACATGTTCCACAAAACAGCACCTAGATTCTCATCGAAATGGTAAATGGTCCTTTATTTACTCTGTCTTTGTTGGGTGATGGCTAGTAGATTGATGAACAGACCTGTTGGAGGCGTGCCTAGTTAATGTATCACAGTCACAATTATTTCATAACAGTGAAGAATGCAGTGAGCATAGAATTGTTGCTTTGTCCCTGTTTTGTGCAGAGAGTCTTTGTTTTCAGCTGGTCATGGCACATGGGTTGTGGCAGTCGGTCTCCACAGCAGTGCCTGCATGGGGACTGTGAAATTGCCTGGCTGCTGGGCTGCTCACTGTGGAACTGAAGGTTGTGTTCCATCCCCTCTTTGATGTTGACAGGCTGTTGGCTGCTAGTTTTGCCTAAGCTGATAAGGGGAAAGGCAAAGTTTATTCTATATTGCAATCCTGAACTGGGCTGTTTTAATTGTATTAGCATTATAAGCTGCTGCTGAGTATTTCTGGGTCTTATATATGAAAATCATATATGTAAAAAACACATATGTCTGGTGTATTTTATCTAAGGTGAAACTAAAGCAGATGAAAACTTAAATAAAGAAACTTCAGAGGAAAAACAGGAGGAGGATAATGATTACCACCGAAGTGACGAACAGGTGAGCTTATAGGGCTCTAGTTTTATCTTGTGTTTTAGCTGAAGTGCTTTGATATGCTAACTTTGGTAATCTAACAGAGAAGAAAATAACTGTTTCAAGCTGCTTTTTCTGTTCTGCAATACAAATAAGGTGCAGTTTGTCCAATGCTTTTTTGTAAGCCTGAGGTTTTTTACCTTTGGGTTTTGGAAGGAATGAAGAATACATTAAAGACATTTGCATTAAGATTTGATAGTTCTGACTGTTTGAGTTTCCAAAGTATTTATTAGCTTTCATAACAAATTCAGGTAATTTGCCTCACCTTCTGAAGGGGTGTACCTCAGTGTTACTGTGACATGTTGAGCTGAATGTGTATCTGTAATTATGAATTAAACATTTTGCACTGTTAAAGAACACATTCAGTGCCATTAGCTCGGTGTGCAGCTGCAGTGGGAGCTGCAGGTTGAGCTCTGGGTGGGAGCCCGAGGCAAGAGGCCAGGAACTGTTGACCCTTTGCTTAACAAAGGGCACAGGGACCTGTGACCCAGCCAGGTGACCAGACATTGAGACACAGCAGGAGCCAATGACCCCCAGACTTATGTGTGCTTAGACTGTGAGGGTATAAAAGCCCAGGGGTTGCTTTGTTCAGGGTCTCTCCTTGGAGGCACCAGCTCCAGTTGTTCTTTTGTTATTTAGTTACTGCACCCACCAAGATTAAATTATTTTAAGGATGGAACATCTGAGACTCTGCTATGGGAAACCTGGGGTTGGGCTGGTAAGGAAACCTGGCCTGAATGTGTCAGTGTGGAGTGTGTAGCTGCAAGGGGTCTTCCATCCCAGCTCACGTCATGCAAGTGTGACTGCCAGAGTGGGTCTTGGATGGTTGGACAGGGAGGTTGCCTTAGCAGCACTTTTAGTAACTTACTATTTATTTATCTTGTTTTCAATCTCTAATACTGAGTCAGTGTTAACTCTATAGCATAAAAATAGTATAAAAGCTTGGAAACCCACTGTTAAATTTTGGAGACAAAGCATGTCTGAAGGTGAAAACTTCTTTTGGAATAAACAAGCCATCCCTTTCATGATGTCCTGTGATGTGTGTTCAGAGTAACTGTAGCTTAGGTTAATTTTCTCTTCAACTGCCATGTAAGGGAACTTTCAAAGGGATTGTACCTGTCACTAGATCCATTTAGTGCATAAAGTATATAATCACAAAGAGGTTAGACTAATTAATGAATAGCTGGATGGGAAAAGACATGAGAATTTCTAAATATTATCCCTCCCTCCTGGGGGGTGTAATATTTAGAACTTGAAAATTTTTTAATAGTATTTGTATTTATTCTTTTTAAACTTTAAATTCTCATTTAAATGTGTTAAAATTCTACTTTAAAACCAAATTTAGCTATTGCATTAAAAGTAAGGTATTAGAAGCAATCATTAAAATTGTCAATGGTTTTTCTTACCGTTTATCTGGCTCTAACTTTTAACATATGGTCCTCTTGCGCTATTGACTACCTATCAATTTGGGATGAAGCAGCCTTGTTCCAACATCAAAAATTCTTTCTTGAATTTTTTTTGTCTAGTGCTTATCACTTAGCTTACAAGATGTTAAAAAATGTTGTGTTGGGGTTTTTTTAAGGCATTTCAGTTTAAGGAATACTGGTACTGTACTTCTTGACTTTATTGTATTAATAAAAACTGCATGTGGAATACGTTATGGGGATTGCAGAAAATTATTCCAGCCAGCTCCTGATTGTTTGCTTTTTCCTGAAGGTAAGCATCTGCTTGGAGTGCAATAGCAGCAAATTGCGTGGATTGAAACGAAAATGGATTCGTTGCTCAGCACAAGCAACAGTTTTGCATCTAAAGAAGTTCATTGCCAAAAAACTCAACCTTTCTTCTTTTAATGAGGTAATATGTTAATTTTTAAAAATAAATCTACATATATAAAAGCTTTTAAAGGGTGGGTTTGTTGTTTTGCAAATTAATGTCTCTTAGTCTGATTTTATTTTCAGAAAATAGAAGCGTACACTGGTTCTTGAATTCTTTTATATATCCATTTTCTTCTTTCATCTATAAGTAGTTGAGCTAAAAGGCTTGGTTATGCGCTTCCACATGTGTTGAAATGGACTCTGGTAAGATGCTTTGTAGTTAGGTATAACCCCCACCCTTTTGGAGAGTTCACACTTTGTACAGGGGTCAGGCAATGAAAAAAACCACATTAATGCTACTGAAGCCCAACTTAAGAGAAAGCACCACAAAGACTTTGTTCCTTTCTGTGCTCTCAGTGAAGCTCAACCTGAAGTTTCTGCCTACCACAACCAGAGTGTTACCAGACACCTATTTTTCCCTCCCTTTGCAGCGAATACTTGAAACAGTCAGAAGAATTTATGGTGAAAGGTACAGAAAGGCAATTCTTTGCACTTCTAGATCAGATTCAAAAATTAACAGTGGCAAACTATGAATGCAGCCTCTGTTTACTGCTTTGCTGGGCCTTGGTCACAGCCTCTGGACATCTCAGTTGACTCTCAGCTTGACATCTCTGAATTCCATATTATTACACTGATTCACTGAAGACTTTTCATTCAAATCAACTCATGTGCTATCCAGCCCAATGTGTCAACATGTTTCTGCTCAGACTTGTCAACAGTGAATTTGCATCTCTGTAACTTTTCCTTCCTTCCTAGCTTCTGGTCACTTCAAACCAATACTGATTGGAATATGCCCCCAAGCACTGCCAGTCTTCCTGAAACACAGCAGTATATCCTGTCTTATCCTTAGCTGGCTTGGAAATGGTTGACTCCTGGCTGTAGCCCAGCAGCTTCATAGCTACAATGGTTGCTCAGAGGGGGATGGTTTTGGGTTTTTTTTCGGTATGAGTAGTTAAGCCCTCCAATGCACTTTGCCAGTCTGTGATTTAACAACCTACTTGGCTTTTACTGAAGGAAAAACTTTTGGGAATACTGTTTATTCCTTTGCTATCCCTTCCTACCTTCTTAAGAGTACATGAATTATAGTGTAATTACTGTACTGGTAAAAAGCAACAGGTAGATAAGTAGAAGGATTTAAGCTTGTTTGCTTGCTTTAGGCTATTGTAGGTTTGAGTTACTGCCGGGTAAGTGGACTGCATGCACATTCAGGCCTTTCTGAGCTGTGTGGTAAAGTGTTGTGATACCTTGGTGGAATTTTCTGTTTTCATGCATGTTCCCTGTTTTTAGTTCATGATGCCGCCTGACTGGCAAAATACCAGAAAAGGTAAAAAAATTTTCATAGTATGTTAAATAACAGTGGTCTTTGAGATTTCTGTCTCCTTACTCATTTTATTGGACCTTTTTAAAACCATGTAAAGCTCTCAGGAAAGGGCGTTAATATTACTTGGGAAGATAAATCAAGCAGTTAAGTCCAGATCACACAGTATTTCCTAGGTAGGCACAGACATGGTCTTTCAGCACTTTATGTTGAGAGCAGATGTTATCTTTTCTTTCCTGGTATTATTTTTGTCTGCAGAGCAAATGCAAGATGAAAAGGTACAGTACATTCAAAGAAAAAAAGTATTGTCAAACATTTGTAGTATTATCTGAAATATGTTGTTTCATGTAGCATGTCCCTGTGAATTAACTGTCACCTTTGTTTTGTCAGCTGGACATATTATGCAATGAAGAGATTCTTGGCAAAGACCACACGCTCAAGTTTGTAGTTGTTACTAGATGGAGATTTAAGGTATGACACTGTGGTTACGCGTAAACAATGAACTGGCCAAATAAAATGTTTATAAAATAGGTATGATTTGGGACTATACTGCAGTAACTGCAAACTCGATAAGAAGATGCATTTATAGATATCTAATACAGCATCCTTAAGCACCCAAGTATTAATTTGTTTCCAAGAAAATGAAGGAAAGGAGAATTAAGTATTAATTGCAAGGAAAAAGGGAGCACTACATCAGATGTCAAATTATCAAGTCTGGCAAAGGAAGTGCAAGCTACAAGAAAGTATTATTTTTAACCATTTCAGGTAAAACTGGTTTTAGTCCACATATGTGGGGGAGTTGATGCAGAAAAGGCAGAAGTTTCCAACACAGTGCTCTTCTGTACCTCAAGAAGGGAATTTAACTTTTAAAGAAGAAATGGTAATAGCAATGTTTTTCTATCCTAGTTAAGGAGACTTCAAGAAGCACGTACTAGGCATAAACAGGTGTGATTAAGATATTTTAATACATCTTTGACTTGCTCACTGTGGTTTCTTTAAAAAACTTCCTTGAAATGGAATAGTAAACTTGGGAATTCATTCTGAATATTACTTATCACATTAATAATGCAGCTCAAATGAAGTGGTAAGGATGAATAGCAAAATGGAGCACTTAGGAGGCAAGTCAACTCTGAAGAGAGTCAGTGTATGTATATTTGAACAAGAAGTTAGGATTTGTAATGGACAAGCAACACATTCTGAGTGTACAGTGTACACTGAGGTAAAACCACTTGATGGCTTAAGTGCATATCTATAAGAGGTGCAGGTGGGAGTAGAGAAGCATTTTTCTGCCTCGGAGTAGAAAAACAATTGACTTCCATAAAAGTCACAGGATAAAGTCAGTGATCAGTGGTAAAAATGCAGAAGTGTTGCAAGTGGAATCCTACTGGAATGTCTTTCATCCAATGTTTCTGAATGACCTGGAAATGGATTCGAGTATTTCAGTAACAGTGCACTGACAGCATTGTGGTTATTTAGGTCAGTGAACACAAGTTGATGATAAAGTATTGGATGAAACCTTTACAATTTGGAGTGACACCTGAAGCTGAATGTAGGTGTAAATAAAAGAATACAAAGCAAATGTTAGGATGTGGGAGCTAGGGGGAGAACCACACAGGAGCATCAAATTGATGTGCGTCTGTACAGTCTACTCTTCACCTTTATCACAGAGATCTGTAAAATTGTGAGTCATATGGAGAAGGGAGAACTATAAACTGCCTTCTCAAGTGAAACAAGTTAGGGATGTAAAATGAAACTGAGAGGGGGGAGGTCCAGCAAAAACAAACAGAAGTAATTGTTTTCATGAGACACAGATATCCATGGTGCAGGATGTCATGGTTGTTAGAAGTTTAGCTATTCATAAAAAAAAATCAGTGGACACTTTCACAGAAGAGGAATCAAACCAGAGCTGTTAAATGTGAAGTACCACGTACTCTTATGCTGCTTCCTGGACGTGTCCTTTACTGGGAATCAGTTTTCCAAGTAAAACAGATCTACTCCTGAGACAAAGGGGAAACGGTTCTTTATCTCTTGTTTGAGCCCCACAGATGAAGTTGCATCTTGTCTTTGTCCTGGTGAATTTTTGACAGATCAGATAGCTGTTCTGGTCTTTCATTGAAGATTTAGCTTATGAAATAGCAGATTTACCTACTGAACAGATCAGTTCTGAGTTTGTTTCTTGACTAACCTAATATTTCTGTCTTGCAGAAAGCACCTCTACTGCTACATTATAGACCCAAAATGGACTTGCTGTAAGAGAACTTTATTGTCCTTCTGGACAGAGTTTTTTGCAGAGACTATCATCTGGCACCTTCTTAGTGCATCACTAATCACATCACACAAACCAGCCGAATAATTTTGGAAGACGAGGGCTTTCATAGTGGACTGTCCTGAATATTTCTTCTATGGATGTGTAACCTAGACTTCTGGGCAGAAAATATTTATACTTTTTTTTTTTTTGTACGGAAGAAAGAAGTCTCAACTCAACAAGACACTACCAGCATTAAGTTTACAGATACTGAAAACACTTCACAGTTCCATGTAGCTCAGCCTGATTTGTCTCTTACAGTTACACAGAAAAAAAGTTAGAATGTTGTGGGGTGATTTAAATATGTTGCTTTTGACACCAAGTTGCATTTAGTTACTTTTCGCATTCTGAATCTTTAAAAACTATATTTTTGCAAAGTGTTATTGTCTTATATAGTATGCCTGATTGCATTGGCTTTATTCAAGTTATTCTGTAGAGCATTGAACATACCTAATGATACAGTGACTGGTGATAATTTATTATGCTGCATTGAAAACTTCGGAAAATCTGGGAAACCAATAAATTTGTCATTTTTGCCCAGTTATTGCTTTCCCTCACCTTGTGTTTTAATAAAGTTTTGATACTTCTGTATACGTGTTAATTTGGTAAGAGTAGTAAAAATAATTTCAGTTGATTTTAATGTGCCCTGATATTTTGCTATGGCATAAATTGCACCACTTAATGACAAATACTCACAAGTGCTAGATTTGTGAATTTCTTAAAAAGCAAATGTTTCTTTTGTAGTTGTGGCTTGCAGAAATCAGTTTTTAATTTAGAGAGAATTTGCTTTCACTAGCTATTGAAATAGTGGCTCTTGAACAACTTTGGGAGTATTGCAGACTTTTCATTTCACTGATTAAAAATTCCTTAGATATTATAAGCAGCTTTATATTTCCTTTAGCTGTTTTCTGATGAAACGACAGCATTTTCCTTACTGCAATTCCTAGCTCACTTGGGGTAGGGTGGAGGGGGGAGTCAGACAAGATTATTTTAGCACCTTTTGGCCTTAACTGATAATTTTGCTTGCATCAGCCCTAATGGATGCAAGGTGATACACACACATGTATATATGGGTACATACATTTATATACACGTATAACTATATATGTTCTAGAAAGCACCCTCAATGGCACTTAGCAGGGTTCACTGCACTTTTTGTAGGGCTTTTTGAAATAATTGGCTTTTTAAAAACAGTAGTTGAAAGTGATTTCTGCAAGCTGTATACAGTGTGGCATATATAGTATGATTGTGAGAATATTTGTCTGGCACAGGTGTCAAGTCACTGAAAGCAGTCTATGCCATATTACTGGCAGCTGGAAATAGTTAACCTAATTTTGGAAGAGTTTTCCAGTCAGCTGAAAATGCTAGTTGCTGTTCCTGTTGTTTAACCCTGTTATTTTTTGATAAATTGTCTATGGATAAGAAAGCAAGTTTGCCTGTAACTGTCCTGCTTCCTTTGGCTGTGCTCCTTCTCCTCTTCTGCTAGAAAGTGTTACTCATTAACTCAAAAGCTGATCCTGCGAGAGATTTATCCAAGCATTTTAAATCTTCCTCTTCTTGAGTTTTCAAAGCACCACATTTGTCAGCACATGTCCCTCAATTTCCTTCTTTGGAGCCTTCAGTCCTTCTTTCCCAGCTCCACTGCTGCAGAAGGGATGCCCCAACTTTGTTTACCTTTAAGAGCAGAGTTCCTCGTTTTGATTATGGTCACAGACGTGAATGGGAAGGAAATCAAAAAGTACGTGAGCAGAGAATGAAAGGGAGCCTAATGAATTGTGGAGATGGAAAGGAGAGCCACACAAGGGCCAAAACACGCTGCTGTCCTTGCAGGTGGAAGTATAAGATAGCTGATTTGATTGTTTAGGTTACACAGAAACCCACGTCTGCGTTCTTGCGTGGGGTTTTGCGTGTGCGTGCGTGTGAGCCATGGAATCGAACTTGGCTCTGATTTTGTCTTTTTGTGGACTCAACTATGTGTATTTTAGCTTTTTTTTCTGTCTTTTAACATTACTTGAACTGGCAGAAAAGAACAAATGAGTTCATAGGTCTACCATTTTTATAAACTTTCCGTGAAACAGTGAATGCAGGTAGTATGGATGTGTACGCAAGCTGACACACTGGGCCTTTCTGGTGCTGTTTATGTGGTTGTTGCTGTTCTAGTGTAAATAAGGGGCTAGCGTTGCCACTGAGGCACTGAGAATATGGACAGGACTGTAAGTGTCCCCCCTCTGTGCACCCAGAGTATACACACAGTGACTGTACCTGATGTAGACATAAAATTAAAGCTGCCAGACAGCATTCTGATTAACCACCTTAACCAGGAAATATATATACATAAAAACAAGTGTGTATATATTTGGTTTCCATATATATATATATACACACGTGTGTATATACATATGGTTACTTATATATACATATATACACCTACATATATATATGAGATCTGTCTACCTCAGAGTGTGTGTATTGCAGAAATTTTTTTTATGACTAGATATTGATGTAGTGCTGTTTAAGTACATTGGGATTTTATTACCTCCCTGTACTTTGTGCAACTGAGAAATTAATTACAAACACGCAAATTCAGAAGCCTTTCAAATCTATCTCTTGCTGTAATAACAGTATAGAACTTATAAGTTTATAACCACCTTTAGAATCACTTGAATTTGTTATGGTGCTATCAGTATATAGAAAACTCTGTTTATAACTATATGGATACATAAATTCAAGCCAGCATTAATACCTACAGCTGGGTTTTTTGCTTGTAATTGTGTGTAACTGCTTTTGGGATGTATTTAATCTGATAAAACCTCACAAGTAAAAAGAGAAAAAAAAAAGAAAACCAACAAAAAATCCAAAGCCACTCAGTTATTTTTCTAAATCACATGTGACAACATCTTCACTACAAAAATTCTTTCCCTCGGGAGTGATGTGACTGTGTCTGGACCATTTGTTAGCCTCAGTAAAAGACTCCAATACAGAGGGAGGTTGTCTTTGGGTCAGAGTCTTGTTTCACTTGTGTGATGCTTAAGGGACAGTTAATTTTTATCAAGATTATATTGGGTAGAAAAATTCTGATACTGTTCAAAGTTGAACTAAAATTTAGACTCAGACATAGGTGTTTCTTAGTCCTGATGAGATCATGGTGGTTTGTTTTGGCTTTTGTGAAGATGCCATTACTGTGAAGTAGTTTTTACAATTTCTTACGCTGAAAAATCATTGCAGTAAAGGAGTATCTTGTTGCATTATCCTCAGCAGCAATGAGACCGATGAATCATTCATGCTCAGAGTCTCATTAAATATAGTTTCATTAAAAAAATAAAGAATTCAGATAGAATATATAATATTGAATTTAAATAAGATTTGGAGGTTTAAATTTTAACTTTATAAGATTATTTATTCTACTTTAAGCCTTCTGTCTTATTTTGCCATCCACGTATTTTTTGTTTCGGTGTTCCAGCTTTATTTACGGGCATATAAAATGAAATTGTATATGTTTTTACAAGCTTCTTCCTTTTACATTGAGTTTGAGTAGCTTTCATTTGTATGTTTTTGTTTTGTATGGATAAAGAGCATTACTTATGCTTTTGTGCAATAGGTTTGAAACATGCATTTATTAGGCATATGTTTAAATTGTAAATGTAGCATCTATTTACCATTACATTTAAAAGGAATGTAGACAGCTTTTCTCACTTGTTCAAATGGGGTTTTATTTGGGGCTATTATTTGGGGGTGGGTGGGTGTGTTTTCTGATTTGTTCCTTTTTTTTTTATTTTACGAGTGAAATAGGGGATTTAAAAAATGTGTAAGTACAAGAACTATCTGTCAGCAATATTTTAAAATAAATGATCTTGCAAGAAACCTTAATGTGAATTGTGGAAGCAATCGACAAGACTTGCAGCCTATCTGAAAATGTTTTGTGCCATTGTTAGGTCTGGTATATTTGTGTACCATCAAACCTGGGAATATTTATTTTTATTGGTTGTGCAATAGCATACACAACACTATCACCTCAGGGGATATGGGACCATAAAAAATATCAGACTACAACTATAATGGTGCTATTTTCTTTTCCAGTAGGCTATGAGCCTTTGAAAGCTTGTCTGGCTCTTACTGTCTTTATAACAACATAGTTAGTCCTAGGGGATTTACTGATCTTTTTTCTTCTGCTGGATGATAAATATAACTTGCGTATTTTACAGCATTCTGCGTCTTACATTGAGCTAAATATAATAGGAAAAAGCCAACCAGTCTGTACATCAGTGAGATGAATCTTCAATACTCAAAATGCATTTTGTACAGAAGGCTTTACTGAACAGAAAAATCAAGTTTCTGTTTTTCCTCAGGTAATCAGTTTGGATGTTTCACTGGAAACATTAATGCAACCTACACTTCAGTTAATCTGCCTAAAGTTGATAACAGGGAAAGAAATTGTCCCACACAAGAAAATCTCTACGTAAGATACAATTAGCTGCAACTAAGGTCATGAGATCTGTTGTTGAAGTAAAAGCTGCAGAGAACAACATTAAAGAACACGGAACAATGTTTCGATCCTTGCTTTATTCAAAAATTGCAATCAGGATAAAAACTATCTAGGAACTTGGGTCTTGTGGCAAGTCAATAGGTAATGTTTTACTGTGAAGTTATGGTTTATTTATGTACAAACTAACGGTATGGTTCCGCTGTTTGATCCGTGTTTGGTCATACTTAGAGCTCTTTGGAAATCTGTTGAGGCCACAACGACCTGTCCACATCCTGGTGGTAGGGTAGGAACTAAATGTCCAGTTCTGTGAACACTTACATTGGTAACTTTACTATTAATGTGGATGGTTCCACAGAAACCAGCGGGATCATTCATGCAAAACGGATAGGTATGGCTGAAGGAAGGAGCTGTGATTTTTGAATGCTGATATTCCACTATATTTGTTAACTGTTATTTGAAACTGAAAGTATTGGTTTGATGGAATCTTGAATTCAAGTGACCTGACTGGACAAAAGGAAAGTTTGTTCTTCTGCAACAAGATTGTTTTACAGTTAAGGGACAATAAGCCAGTGCAACCACTAAGCCTTTTTCCTCACATGTGGCATAATAAAGATTCTGGAACTGTCACAGTGTAAAACCATATTTTTGGCTTAGCTTCATTTTAAAGTTTACAATTTTTTATGCTTTGTGTTACTGTGTAATTTCTGTACTACTGGTGGCTAGTTTTGTCTGAATAAGCCTTTTGGGGATTAATGCTTAATGTTCTGATTTTATGATAGTGAAGCTTGTATCCAGTGTTTTGCCAATGAATATTATATGCTTGTTAATAAAAGCAGAGAAACTAACTGAAATAGCGTCAGGCTGGAAGTTATTGTCCCGTTTTCCCCCAAGAACATAAGGATCTAGCAGTCATCATAGTACTGAATAAATGCAGTGTGACTGAAGCAGAGGTGGTATGACATTGCATTGTCATTGTCAGCCTTTTACTCAAAACACAAGGATGGCCCAAAGTGTTACTCCCCTGCACAGAATGGCAGTATGTCTGTGACAAGTGTGTGGCAAGTAGCTGCCAGATGGGAAATTGAATGGCTTCAGCCACCAAGAGGAAAAACACCATTGTCTCCGTGTCTTTATGTACCTGACCTATGTTCCTTTCAACCTAACCCTTACCTGGGGTTGATGCACAGGCACCTGCTGCAGTGTCCTGAAGCACAGACATTCACTTGTGCAGGTGCTAAATAGAATGTGTGGAAACGTTCTTTTCAGGTTTCATTTTACTTAGGTGTGCTGCTAGGGGGGAAAAAAGGTCTCTTACTTGTAGGAGGCTTAGATTGGTGAACTGAATATGTTTTGTGTCTGTCACATTGGTGGTTGCCCACTGTGTAAGTTGAAGAACTTTTTTCCTTCAAGATCCTTGAGATTTATTTTAATACCTGCGGGGGAATTTTTAGGTAAAGTTAATTGAAATGCCTCATTGACAAAACACGATAATGATCCAAAGCAGATGCTACAGTAGTAGAATTTCTTGCAGTATCTACATGCAATAATGCAAATATATAGTTTGTGAACTCCTCTACATACTGAGAGGCCAGCACTCTTATTCATGCTGTTGGCTTGTTAGGAACTACCCACAACTCTGAGTTAGTTTGAAGTCAGGATTTTATTCATACATATATTTCTTGCTTGTACTCATGGTACCAATGTGTAATTGTCCCGAGGAAATTAGGCATTTACCACTTAATAGATTCATTTAGATACCAGCATGAGAGACTTACCATGGAAAGGTCCCTTTTCCTGTCACTTAAAAGTGAATAAAAGTTACCACTTATTCAGCAAGTGTTACATTTTGTAAATCTTCATGGTTTCATTATTAAAGGTTCTAATAATGAACTTTGTACTACTGGTTGCTTCCATCTCCCTGTGAAGTAACCAGTGATGGGCCTGGCTCAGCCTGCTTCTTTCCTTCTTGAGTTTTCAGAAACCATTACAGGAGACTGGAGAAGATGTGCTCAAACACAGGGGTTCTGTTTCATAAGAGTGTGATAGATTTTCTGAGCTTTATAAGTGCTGGAGTAGTTAGGAGATGACAGGAGCTTTCTCCTCTGCCGGGAGAAGTACATAGTGCTGTACACAAGTTGTGGTCGCTTTAATTGGCACACATATCATTGAGAAACTGCTAAGGTTTGCAGAAGGAATGATTGCATGTGTACCTCACTCTAGGAATGATTAAAGCACCACCATCAACGTCTGTTGAAAATGTGACCTTTGAAATGGTTGTGGCAAAAGTTGTATTATAAGTTATATTGTTTCATGTAAAACATACTTGTGAAAAGCCTAAACAACAGAAATACATGACGGATCTGAACTAACTTCCCTCCTTACCTGAATGTGATATTAATCTAATACATAAAGAGTAGAACTATTCCAGTTTGGCTGAAATTCCCAAGCCTCACAAAAAGAAGTTGTGCTAGTAGTTTTGTTAGCTACCCCTGAAATCAGCATAAACCTGCCCTGCAGCCAGTAGGAGCTAACTACATTTTTAGCCCAGAGATAATTCACTGTGAGAAAGCTGTAACTGGTATTTCTTATTTTATATGTAACTGATATTTTCTTACTTCACTGATTGAGTGTTCTGCTATAAAAATCAGTACTTCCAGTGAAATATCTCTGTGCAATAACTTCCTCAGGGTTTCCTTGAGCTTGGAGCAGTCAGGGGAAAAAAAAAATCCATATTAATTTAATATGTGCACTTAGATAAATTCAGCTGTTTAAATCCTGATGTAGATACAGTCACTCAGGATTAAATTAATCTCAACTCACTTAAGTTTAATCCGGTACCACATCTGAGTGAGTTTCTGAATAGAGGTATGCTGCAGTGCAACTCCCCATGCACCTCTATGTAACAAGTCCCTGCATGTCTTTAATGGACCTCATTTAGCTTTCTATATTCATGATTTTTTTTTTAAAAGGTTCCTTTTGATTAGTTTTTCTTTGAGAAATTCAAGTAATGGCCTGGCTTTATTGGAGCAACAAGAGTAGCCTGAGAGATTCCCCTGCTAAGAGTAAGACACAGGCCACATCTGTCTAAATATTGTCACGTCTTTCATGTGGCAATATGCTGGGATTTGTACTTACACTGTGTAGAGGTGTTTTATTGAAGGGTTTGGAGTGGACATGTCTGTGCTCTGTGTATTGTGTGTAAAAATTGTGTCCTGATGTGTCCAAACGTACCATATCCATGAAAATAAAAACAGAACAAAAATCTAAGCAACTGGCTTCGACAGGAAGACTGACTGGGTGGTTTCCCTGGGGACATGCTGCCCTTACAGCCTTGCCTCTTGCTTTTGGCCCCTGCTTGTAGCATGTAATTGTTTCTTCACGCACTTGAGGGAGGGGAAACTTCATTCTTATGAAATTCTTTAAAGCTATTTATTTGTTTATTTATTTTCTCATTTGATGCAAAACTCACAGTCCTTCGCCTGAATTTTGACTCCTTTTTTCAGGAGAACACAAAGCCTTTTATTCTGGATGCTCTAAGGCTGCACCATATGAAGGTTTCCATTGCTGTGGTGCACAATGCTGACTGCTCATGCAGAAAATTATGTCTCTACTTCTAGTCCATTCTGGTTCTCAGCAGGGTGCAGAGCACAAGTTCTGCATTGATATATTTTGTAATACAATGTACTGTCCAAATGCTTCTGTTTTCCCATTTAAGCAATGTCTTTGTAACCATTTACAATGGATTGTCTTAGCATTACTGGGATTATTGTTTTAAATGTGCTGATTTATGAGAGTGCCTGTAAAGAGATTGATAGTACAGTAGTGAACTGGATGTCAAGTGGTATGTATCCTTTGGGCCTGCTTTCACATCCTCTGGAAAAGATTCCTTTCTCTGCTTCACATCAGTGTTGCAGACTGCAGCTGCAACATCTGAGACTTGATGATTTCAATTTTTTCCTCCACTCAGCTTTGAGGCTCTGTCTAGATTTTATTGTAGCCAGCATTGCTTGAAAGTGGTCGTAATGCTGGTTTAAAACAAAGACAATGAGTTGTTGTTTCTGGACCCTCTATCATTTTCACCTCAACAGATGTTGTCTGCCCTGACTGAAGAGAAAACAGGCTTCTCTCTCTGCAGAAAGTCTCCTCTTTCCCTAGAAAACAAGCGGTCACAAATCTCTGTGCGTTCTGATCTGGCAGGGACTGCTTCACCGTTTCTCTCTTCAAGAGCTTTTCAAGATTAGAATATCTTTGACAGACAAGGTGTACATGGTTCTACTCTGGTTCACGAAGTCTCACAGAAACTTTACTACTTTTAGTCAGAATGGCTGGAGACTAAACATGTGAAAAGAATTGCTATCATAACTTTCCACAATTCACAGAAAGAGGTAGGAGCTGTGTGTACACTAACACACTAAGCACCTGGGAAATACAAAATGCACTTGTTGTAGCTGTGGATCTGAAAGAACAGCCACTGTTACAGAACTGATAATAGACTTAATTTTAAGTCAAAGGAAAAAATGGAATTCTACAGGAGATCCTGGAGGTCATTGGAAAGGGTGAGCTGACTGTGAAACAGTGAAGTCTGTGCTGGGACAACATAAAAAATACCAGCTTCACAGGGGTGCTTGGGATGACTAAGAAGTCTATACACTTTTGAGTGCAAAGTTAGTTAGCTAGTTGGAAAAGGGCACAATGGAAAAGAGAGATTGGTTGGGAAATTCCTGCTGCAGTACGTGACGTCACTTTGGATTTTGTGTTGAATGCTGTTTAATTTTCCATTGCATGTTGCTGGGTGCTGAGCATGTGTCCTTGCAAAGATCCTGGTGACCCAGCTGTCCCAGTGCAAGAAGTCCTGTGGCTGCAAGGGAGTCAGATCCTTGGTTAGAAACACTGAGGTGGCCAGTCACAGCTGCTGGGAAAGAAGCTGTGTCCTGGGGTGTTCCAGGATCACCTCTGAGTTGATCAAACAACCAGTGGGAGAGGTAAGCCCAGGAAGTAGAAAGAAGGGCTTCCAAACACTGGGACAACACATACCTTTATGGATGGCCACGGGCCAGACAGCCTCAGGGAAGAGAAGCCATATCTTTCAGAGAATGGGCAGTGCCACATCATCAGAGTGACAGCTAGGGTGCAGTCATTAACTGCCAGGTCAATGGTCCACCTGTCATCCACCTGCCCTCTGACAGATCAGTTTTGTCAGAGATGCATGCAGCTATTGTAGCGCTGATCGAGAGTCACTGTCAGCTGGATCCCACCCACCTGCTGACAGGAGGTTTGGGAGCACAGGTCTGATAGATTTTAACATGTAAACAGGTACTACTCCTGCATTCAAAGTTCTCATAGGTTTGTACTGTGATCAGGCTCTCTGCTTATTCCACTTTTGTAAGTCTTCTTGGTCTTGGAGTCCAAAACCGGCTCTGATTATTTTAGAACTGGATTTTCCTGATTTAGCTGCAATTTTTCTTTATCAAAGAACACTTTAGTTGGTTTTCCCTTATCTTTTTCTGCTTCACTTTAGGGCATCTCGTATCACACTATGGCAGCTCCTTTCCAAGATTTTTTTAGGTCTGGTTCATTCAGAGATTATTAATGCTAACCGAGAAGTGTTGGATTTCTCAGCAGAGAGCTCTGGGAGAAAGCAGTTGTGCCAGGGCGTGGTGGATCCATTCTCTGAACTGCAGCATAGGAGCAGTTAGAAATTCCCTTATAACTACAGGGTCTAAGGATTTGCAGAGTAGTGGATGGGGTAGATGCTGGCTGCAGATGATCTGATGCACACAAGTGACAACTGATTTTGCCACATATGCTAATACAACTCTCCTACCATAAGAATTGTAATTCAGTAAGCCTT